CGTGAAGCTGGTAAGCTGACTCAAGAGTCGTCCAATGATGAGCACAGAGAGCTACCGACCGCTGAGCCAATAGTGAGGAGAAGTGGCAGGCTCAGCCGGAAGACGCGCCACCTGCAGGTGGATCCTTCTCGGGTATCATACGAATCGGAGGGGGAGAGTGATATGATGTCAAGTGACAGTGACTGAGTTTGGTGTGAATGTAGGACTTGATTGGTGCTAGTGATAGATATAATGTGGCGCCTTCATGCTGCCACTGTTGCTGATCATTTATTAGCAGTTGTGTATAACTGCATGCACATGTATGCCACTGTGAGGTGGCAGCACTATCAGCTACAGTGTGCATTGATGTTACTTGCGTTAAAACTCTGGCATGCTTCACACCATTATCACTTGCACACTCTCACACCATCAATTGTAGCGTCAGGCGAAATTACTGGTCAGTCGGCGTCACGCATTTTTCACAAAAATTGCGTTTCACCTGCTGGGAGAGTATGCGTGTAGTCAAGTCTCATCCTGAGCACGTTTTTTTCTTCTTTTTTTCAGCTCCAGTATAGCTGTATTTTTCATTGCAAAGCCGTCCTCGATTGTTGTCAGTTATAAGTAATAGTTTACTTTGGGTTCACTGCCTGTTCAGTTGATCACCTACTTCTGATTAAATATACGTACTGCCGACGTATCACAACGGCCCGGGTCTTCCTCTTCTGGCATGGCCACCATCATGTCGTGTATGCACCACGGGAATGTGAAGCCAGCTGATGACGCTTTAGACACATGTGAGGTCACGTTCCTTGATCAGATGAAGCTGGACAAGTGCGTACACATCTGTGGACTCGCTGGGTATGATGTCGAGCTGGTGTATCTCCAGTTACGTTGTGCCCAGCTCCAGTAACGGGATGGAACCTTCTCCGAATGCCACTGAAACCCGTAGCTAGGAAAGCATGTTGAGATAAATTACACGATTGTCCAAGAGTATGAGGAGAGGCGATTCCAGTGACTACTAAGTGAAACCGCAGGCGCGCCAACTTCATTACTGGGGATGGCAAAGGTAGCTGAGAAATGACCTTGGTTGCAATGGTTAAGCAGGCTATACTGGCCTCTAAGATAAAATTGCCAGAAGATACACAATAGTGGCGTTGTGCACGCTCGAACCATCTAGTGTTGAAAGATGGTGAATTAGTCCAAGATTACTGTCTCTCTTCGGAGAAACGCCTAGCCAAGATGACTGCCCCGGACGGAATGGTGGGGTGGACACGGGCCGGCTGCCGTACCATCCACCACTGCCGGTTGTCTTATCCATACTGTCCTCACCAGTTCGCTGGACAGCATCATGGTTCAGAGGAGACCCATCGGGTCTCCGAAAATGTGTGAACGTGTTGAGTTCGACAAACGTCCGGAATTCTGATGCTCTGCTCGGGTGTGCATCCAGATTCCCAACAGCAAATATTGCCAAATATTGTTCCCACCACCAGCTAGGTTGCCTTTGCCCGAATTGCGACAGGTCAAATGTTCCAAAGTTTCAAAAGGAGAAAAACAAATAACAAAACAAACAAAAAACACTGTACTAAACAAGAACACTAATAACTTCATTCAGAAAAATCCAAAACAAAACAAAAAACAAAAATGCTTGATAAACAAATAAACACAGTATAGAAGATCAAAAAAATACGTAACAAGGCGAGACTCGGCCACCACTACGGCACTATCCACAAAACGTTGGGCGAGGAAATCCCGACGAGAACGAGCACCAAGGATACAAAGAATCTTGGATCTCAATAAGGAGAAAGAGAGACGGGCACGCAGAATACTCGTGACAACAGAGTATTCGCTACCAGAAGACTCACATTGAAAGCGACAAAGACGTTAAAAAAACAATTCACAACGGACTACAACCAGCATGAGTACCGAACACTAGAGTAGACGGGTGAAAGAACCACACTCTACATTGATAACTCTCTCTCCTCATACTCGCAACGCTTAGAATCCTCATTTTTTATTCCAAACAATACATGGCTGGGGTAGCCAATGACCACTTTGTGTGGCGATTGCAGGGTTTTTATAGTCAACCACGGTTAACAAGGAAAAGAGTAAGCTTTCATGTAGCTTGCAGACAGCGCTGGGAGATTTGGAGCAGTAGGAAGGGGCATCTGGGCCAAAACAATTCATCAAAAAAATGACTCCTCCTCACGGCTCCAAAATCCCGGAGCGCTCAGGTCGAGTCCGGCCTCCACACTAACGTCAGCTGTTCGAAAACGAAAACGCTCGCAAGCGAGCGTCGGTTCCGTACCACCCGCCCAACAAACCATTGTGAGTTCTTCCACCGTACGGTAGGAAATCCCCACGACTGCAACAAAGTTGGTGCTCGACCGAAAACTCATGTACGCATATACAGGACTCAGCTGTACACTGCAAAGGCCAGCCATATTGCAAAGCGACAGAGTCCTGGAAGTCTCTTCGTGATAAAATATAACCATGCCTCCTGATGGTTAATACAGCAAGCCAGGGCGAGGCACCCTTCTCTGATAGTTCGAGAATACGCCTCCTGCCCCGATCACTCAACGCTTCAGCAGGCGCACTCGCCGCAGCCCCGGCTTCCCTCCTTTAGTTAGACCGCTTTGTCAAATATCGGACTGGTCTCGTCATCGTCCAGTAACAATCGACATTCTTTGTTCCATTGGGACTGTAGCTTTTGCTCGTTTTCGTTGCGCTTGCCTTCCCCTCTTTGGTCTTTCCGTAACCTTGAACCTTCCAAGTTGGAAGGCTGTCGGTTAGCGCTACGGAGATGTGTTGAAGCTAGGTGTCAGGACGTCGAATGTCTCAGTACTCTGTCAATTTTGTGCCTACATATTGCACTTTCTGACTGTATAAAGTATCATGTTACAGTGATGGAGAGTTACATTTAACTCGTATTCATAATGTCTTTTTCCTTTCTACATTTATTTATGGCTCAACATCCGAGAAAAAAAGGATTCAAACCTGCTTTCTTACAACACTCATCAGGAATCGTCGTTTTACACGTTTGACACTGAAACAAAATTGAACTATTAGAGAAAATCTAAGTTAGAGAATTAACAATAGGAGCAACAGCAGTGAACATTTAAACATTGAAAGCGAGAGAAGTAACGAATGCGTGTGCTAACAATAAACTTGCAATTGGAAAAATGAACAAACAAGAGAAAGAAAGAAGGAAGGACAAAGTGATAACACCTAACTGCAGTACATTTCACCTAGAACATTAACGCCCGAGCTTGGCTGCACCAAAATGTGACATGTTACTTGAACCATTTAAACCCAATCATACTATATATCTGTTCACACAAATAAGGTTTTTATACAGACGCTGGCAGATGGTGTGAGCGCTGTGGGTTTTCCAGATTAGTTGTTTCTTATTTTGTCAAAGTCATTTGGAGTAATAATATTATAACACCAAATGACTTTGACAAAATAAGAAACAACTAATCTGGAAAACCCACAGTGCTCACATCTCTCCCCCTCTTTAGAGAGCTCACAGGTCCATAACAGTTCTGGGCTTGTGAGTACGTGTCGACTTCCGTATCGTACTGGATGCAGACAATGGGGGTGTAGGCCGGGAGTCTTGGGAACTGGCAGGCCAGCAAACGGTCTGGTCTGTAGTGTGGTCAGCCGATGTGTCGGGCGTAGGGGTAGCCGCTGAATCAGCCGATGGCTCAAGGTTGCTCGGTGCTGGTCGTACGGTGTCCAGATGGCGGCGTCGCATGGATCCATCATCACCTTCTAACACCACGTCATGCGGCGTTGCAGACACCACAGTGGCTTGTCGGGTGGCAGTACCAAAACCAGATAAGTCGATGCGCTGGTGTGTGGATTTGCGCTGTGTAAACCAAGCAGTCAAGCGACCAGGAGTACAGCTACCAACTACAGACGACCTGCTAGCACAACTTGGGAATGCAGAGTATTTCTCGAAGCTAGACCTGAAGTCAGGATATTCCCAGCTGGAAATCACACCGGAGTGTCGTCATGCGTTTGTGGTAGCGTCACCACTCGGTTACTTTCGTTTCTGCCGGCTTCCGTTTGGTGTCTCGAGTGGCCCTGAGCTATTCCAACGGAAAATGGAACAGATTCTGGCTGGCATGGACGGCGTCGTCATTTACCTGGACGATATCTTGGTCTTTGCTCCTACCCAAGAAGAGCATGACCGTCGTCTCAAGATGGTCAGAGAAGCATTGACCAGGTACTGTGTCACTCTCAATGAAAAGAAGTGCGCATGGAATGTCACCGAGCTCACGTTTCTGGGTCATAAAGTCTCGGCCGCAGGTGTTCGCCCAAGCCGTGCTAAGGTAGCCGCACTTCAGGATACACAGGATCCTAGCAATGTCTCGGAGTTGCGCTCGTTCATGGGCCTCGCGACATTTCTTCAGAAGTTTGTGCCCAACCTGTCGGAGATTATGGCACCACTCACTCATCTCCTTTGCAATGAATGGCACTGGTCTAGCGAGTGTGCCGAAGCAGCCGCAGCTATTCGCAGCTATTTGCAAACTGAGCCAGTCCTCACCCTGTTTGACCCGTCTCGGCCCACTCGTATCGAAGTAGATGCCTCAGGGTACGGTCTCGGTGCTGTTCTTATGCAGCAAGTCAGTGCAAGCCCCACTGAAGTTGCCTGTTGGAAGCCAGTGTATTATGTCAGTCGAAAGCTCAGCGATCCAGAATCTCGCTACGCCACCATCGAGTGAGAAGCACTAGCTATTGTCTGGGGAGTGCAGCGTCTTCGTTCCTTTGTCACTGGCATCGAGTTCACTGTGGTCACAGACCAGAAGCCACTCCTAAATGTTTTCAAACCAGAGTACAACCTGAGCAGCGCTAGTCTTCGGGTACAACGTCTTCTGCTAAAGGTTCAGGCTTTATCATTTGCTGTACACTATCGTCCCGGCAAACAGAATGGCTTGGCTGATTTCTTGTCTCGTGCGCCTGTTGAGGACGCGGACATCAACTTTCTAGTTGTGCATCACGTGACAACCGGTATTGGTATGCCCACAGATGACCGTCGACGTATTGCCGAACAGACAGCAGCTGACCCAACGCTGTGTGCAGTGCGAGATGCTTTGCGCAGCCCTCACTGGCCAAGACAGCCAATCCTGGGACCCTACGAAGCCATCCGCCATGAGTTGAGTGTGTGGAAATTTCCCGGGGTGGATGGGTTTCTCATTCTCCGCGGGGAGAGAGTTGTCATACCAACAGCAGCCACACAACGAGTCATTGAGCTAGCACATTCAGGCCACCCCGGAGTCGACAAAACTCTCCAACGGCTGAGAGAAGCCGTGTGGTGGCCAGGGTTCACCAAAGAAGTCAAACAGGTGTTAACTAACTGCAGTCCGTGTGTGATTGAGTCTAAAGTGAGGCGCGTGCCACTACAGCCGCGGAGGCTGCCATCTCGACCATGGCACACTGTGTCGGTCGACATATTCTACTACCAATCGAAGCCCTTTCTCAGCTTCCTGGATGTATATTCCCGTTACCCAACCGTGGTTCTGTTACGTGCCGAGAATGCTGCAGCGGTAACTCAGGCATGTGAACAAGTCTTCAGCTTGTTCGGCACCCCAACCAATGTCATCTCCGAAAACGGACCGCAGTTCCTGTCAGCAGCGTTTGCGGCCAAGTGTAAAGAGTGGCAGTGCAATCATGAGCGAACGGTGCCCTACCAGCCAAGACAAAATCCAGTGGAGCGGCTACACCAGACGTTGAAACGCCTCATGCGAAAGTCTGGACAGTCTTCCATTCAGGCAGCGCTTCAATCGGCACTGCAGGTGATTCGCTCAACCGTGTGCGATGCTACTGGTCGAACTCCAGGGGATGTGCTTCTTCGTGGAGGATATAACACGCCGTTACGCAACATCCAACCATCGACACCGGATGCCGAGAGTGACAGTGAGATGGATGACGAGATCCGGGCACAAGACGCCACAATGAAGGAAGCTGCAAAGACACGGTATGACCTGCGACATCGATGCCAAGACCGGACAGTAGACGCAGGTGATCACGTGTATGTCAAGGAAGCATCCGGAGACACACGACAAGCCACTGTGGTGTCTGCAACGCCGCATGACGTGGTGTTAGAAGGTGATGATGGATCCATGCGACGCCGCCATCTGGACACCGTACGACCAGCACCGAGCAACCTTGAGCCATCGGCTGATTCAGCGGCTACCCCTACGCCCGACACATCAGCTGACCACACTACAGACCAGACCGTTTGCTGGCCTGCCAGTTCCCAAGACTCCCGGCCTACACCCCCATTGTCTGCATCCAGTACGATACGGAAGTCGACACGTACTCACAAGCCCAGAACTGTTATGGACCTGTGAGCTCTCTAAAGAGGGGGAGAGATGTGAGCGCTGTGGGTTTTCCAGATTAGTTGTTTCTTATTTTGTCAAAGTCATTTGGTGTTATAATATTATTACTCTGTTCTGGTGTACTACCATGCCAATGCTTGAAATGCATGGACGGACTGATCTGAGTCGAGCTGCCCGCGGATGTTGATTTTGGGGCGAAGCTTCTTGAGGACTTTGAGAGAAATAGCTTTTGGCTCAAGCTGATCCGACTTCCACTTTGTTTTACCTGTATTCTGGTGTTACCTGTGAATCCCTTGTTACCATAACTGTATTGCTGGAACTAGTGTGTGAGACCTCGGCTGGGAGACAGTAACAGATGGCTTCCAAAACTTTTAACTGTAGTCCATAACCATGACGACTACGGCAGAATACAGCGAAAGAAGAGTTGGAATACAAATTGCATCAATCAGGACTAGCTAGCAGATGATTGTACACTGGAGACTTGCTACCACGAAACCTACGTACAACACTAACATTCTCACCGGCACTCTCACGATCACTACCACCATTGCCCTCCGAATAACTGTTGCCCTCGCCGTCCGTGGCATCAACGCTACAATTGTCGACTCGAAAAGACCTACTTTGTGTATCAATAGCTCCCACACCAACACCAAGAACGCAATCTACAGCAACCACAACTAATCCACCATCCAAGCCCACTATTGAAAGACCAAGATGATCCACATCCAACTACAACAGAAGCTACGCGCTCAACGGACAAGGGCCAAAGGAGGGAGGTGGCAGCACTTTGTCCTTCCTTCTTTCTTTCCATTGTGTTCATTTTTTCATTTGCAAGTTTATTGTTAGTACACATATTCGTTGCTTCTCCCGCTTTCATTGTTAAAATTCACACATGTAAATTTTCACTGCTGTTGTTCTTAGTGTTATTTCTCCAACTTAGATTTTCTATAAAGCCTAGTTCACATTCTACGCAACGCCGACGCTACGGGACGTAACGGCTTGTCGGGAGGGCTGGGGTGAGCTGTAAAATCCCGTACGATTCGTACGACACAACATGCAGCAGTCGTTGCGACGTTCACCGTCGAACGGCGCGAGTCATAAGGCATGGTCCATGACGGGGTGACTTTCGGGCCAAATTTCTAATTTTTCGGGACTTCTTTTCAATTATTTCTCCTGGAAAGAAGCGAAATCAAGTTCACAATACCAGTTTTTCCTGAAGACCAAAAAATTAGCCCTAAAAGTTGTGGCATTCAAATAATAGCCCCAGGAAATGATGAAATAGTTCGTCTGTCACGCTTCTGAACTATCCCTAAATACAATAAGTGACATGAGATCTTATGTTGCTAAAATTCAACTCAAGTCGTGCTAGCCATTCTGTGAGTTATCATGGGAAGTGCAGTGTTCGAAATGCTAAAAATTTCAAAGTACGAATCGGGAGCAGTCGGCGCACGACGCCGTCTCCTGTTCACACTCGAATTGCAGCCGTTTTGTACGCTTGCGTCCCCGTCTACGCCCGTCTACGGTATGAAAAGTTGGATTGATCCAACTCTTCCCGTCGCTTCCCGATCTGTACGGTAGTACGGTTGTGTTCCCGTTCCTGGTGTTCACATTGGACGCCGTCAGACCGTCCCGTCGCTTCCCGTCGATCCTTACGTCGCGTCCCGTCGAATGTGAACTAGGCTTTATAGTTTAATTTTGTTTCAGTGTCCTTTAGGACAACAACGATTCCTGATGAGTGTTGTAAGAAAACTTGTTTGAATCCTTATTATTTTTTCTCTACATTAATTCTTCATATTTTCATTGTTTTATTGCATATTGTCTCCACCGTTTTACATTGAATAAATATAGTGTACACAAATGTCTATGCAGCTTGTTATTTTGATTGCGGTTATCAAATTATTGTCTCCTCGCCGTTTGATCTTAATTCTGTTTTCAATGGGCGCCTTTAATTTTCTCGGTTTGAAAGTGGGGGTTGCATGAGTAGAAAAGGAGTCCGAAGCAGAGTAATGAGGCAATAAAAGATTGAGCAAGGAGTTATTGTGTGGAGCGAACCATATGTAGTAACAACGACTGAATAATCTCCTGGCCTAGCATGCATTCTTTGGTTAATCAGCAATGACAGTCACTGAGTGGTAGATAGAGGGGTGGAAATATGACCCATAACTGATCTGCAATCAGATTTGTCACCTGTTGGGTATAATTCATATATTGGTGAGCTTAGTAGAGGTTTTGGCGGGGAAGCGGAGATCATGACTAAGCAGTGTCATAAGCGGGTAGCTGGCGTTATTTGAGAAGTGTGGAGGATGATGCATGTCAATGATGGGCTGCAGCGGCTGCCGCAGCAGCCGTACATGCTAGCCATATCTCTGTTGGGCCCATGTCCAATACTTGCAGTTCAATAGCCAACGATTTAGCTTGTTTTCGTTCTTGCAGGTCTCAATTCAACAGTTTGTTCCCAGAGCTGTGACAATGCACCAAAAGGAGAGTTTACTTGCAACACTGGCTATAGATGTATCGGTGCTTTATGGAACTATACATGCCAAAGTAAGTACCTACTGTTAGAACACACCTCTATACATGCCAAAGTAAGTATCTACTGTTAGAACACCACTCTATACATGCCAAAGTAAGTATCTACTGTTAGAACACCACTCTATACATACCAAAGTAAGTATCTACTGTTAGAGCACCACTCTATACTGTAAAACGACAAACTTTCGCGAGCGATTTACTTTCGCGACTTTCGCGAGCAGAGCCGAATCGCGAAAGTTGGACACGCGAATAAGAAATTTGTACAATCATGTACTACGCGATGCGTCGATGATCGATCGTGCACTGTCTGTACATGCACTGCACAGACTCTGGACTAGCGCTGATCGATGCTTGCACGGCTAGAGTCCAAAGCGCGCAGCTGTTGAAAGTTACGTACCAACACTAGTCTTACAAGTTGTCGTTGGAGTACGGCGACTTGAACAGAATTGTAGAAGAGAATAAAACGATCGACTGGAGAATGTCTCAGTGTTGTGGAGAGTGTTTGGCCAGCTTGCTGTTGCGTAGATTTTAGTGTTGTACTGCGCGAAGAAGTCTTCTGAAGTTTATCGCCATTAGTATCGCAGTGGCTCAGCAGTTCGAAGAGAAAGCCTTCCGATGATCCCTCTTCGAAAACGCCATCCTTTCTTGCAGTACTAGTACTCACCTTATGATTATCTTTGATTCCTTGATTCATTCTTTCATTCTTTGATTTCTTCTCTCATTCTTCGTGCGCTCTGCGTCCCAGCACTCCAAGACTTCGTAAAATAACATTCTTGAAGATTTTCAGTGGAAGGTAAAATCGCTAAAATTAATCGCCGCTAACTGGTCCAGTTTGCCAAAACGCTAAATTTAGCCGCCGCGAAAGTTTGTCGTTTTACAGTACATGCCAAAGTAAGTACCCACTGTTAGAACAACCCATTGAGAAATAAACAGATTTATCAGTGTCCCTAGACTTAGGACCTAAGTCGAATTGTGTTGGTCCCACGTCTCTCCTACTACAAAGTTTAGACTTGGGGAGTGGTTTTAAACCACAGGAATGGCGCGACAAGGTTGTTGTCTGATGATCGGTTAAAACCGTGAAACTCAGAGTTACAGAAGAAACGCTTTTCGTCCCTCTCAAGTGTGTATGCTCTGATATACACAAGTAAGAGATTTGAAGCTTTGTTGCAACTCTGAGTTTTCACGTTTTACCACGATCATCAGGCAACTGATGAATCCAAAACGGGCAGCCAGAACATAAGGGAGAGCAAGGTGGGAAATTCTGAGGGGTATCATAAGCGACGCATATCATAGCGCAAGAGTCAGGTGCACGCGTGAAGTTGCCAAGTCGTCAGACTTGGAGCTATGCAGCAGTAGTTCCGCCGTGAATGATAATATAGAATAGAGCTGGGGACAAATGCCAAATCCACACATGCCCACACCATTACACACACATACACCCACACTCTCTCCCTTTTCACTCTCTCCCTTTTCACTCTCTCCCTTTTCACTTTCTCCCTTTTCTCACAAACACATACATGTACACCCACATGCACACACACACATTCGCTAAATCTCTCCAGGTTACAGGAATCGCTGACCAATGTTCGTAGACACATTCTTACTGAACGGTGGGTTAAACCAGGCAATATTCCGGTGTCTCTTCCTTTGTCTCTTCCTATTCCCACTCTTCCGTTCCTCCAAGAACTGGACCGTCTTATTGTACCCGCTGTCTCTGAGCGCATTATTGTACATTTGAGGTGCGTCCTGGAATGTCTCTTGATCCGTGGACATGTCCGTTAGTCGTCGGCTGATGGAAGAGGACAAATTCTTGATGATGATTGGTGGGTGGTTGGATTGGTGATGGACATACAGTGGCCGGTCGTTGGCCTTCCGATATGGACGGTATTTGCCAGTGCGTAGGTCCAGCGTGATGTCTAGGAAGTCGACTGATTTCAGGTTTGCCTGGATGGTAATTTTTAGTCATAGGCTGTTGAACATTTGGTCATGTCCTTCCTGATCCTGTCCACTTCCGGTCCTGATACGTTCCGGAACACTGCCAGCCCATCGTCACGGTAGAGTCCAATTTCACTGCCGCTGTACACCTCAGATAGTTTGGCAAGGGCCAGCGTACCGACCAACTCACAGACTTCAGCACCGTCATAGCATCCCATCGTCACATCGAATACTCCGCTTCCCTTCTTCATCCACTCTTTCCCGAGACTGAATAGCAGGGATTTCCGTGCACGGAGGATTGTTTCCTGGTCCTCCGAGGACACCGATGTGAAGCCTCTGGCAAACTCCAACGACGTTAATAATAGCTCCTCCGAGATAGACGGGTAGAACTCCAAGACATCGAAACATACAAAAACGTAGTTTTGCTTTTCCTCCAGCCCATCGAACTATATGCTCTTATATAGACGTAAGGCAGTTAATATTGAGGTTCTGGTAAACGTGACGTAAAGTGAAATCTCGTAGAGAATGATTGTCTTGAAAATAGC